AGATAGATAGATAGATAGCCAGCCAAATGGATAGATAGATAGATAGATAGATAGATAGATAGATAGATAGATAGATAGATAGATAGATAGACAGTTGGATGGATGGATGGATGGATGGATGGATGGATGGATGGATGGATGGATGGATGGATAGGTAGAAAATGATAGACTGATAGATACATAGATAGAAAGATAGATAAAAATAAAGGAAGGAAGGAAGGAAGGAAGGAAGGAAGGAAGGAAGGAAGGAAGGAGATTATGTAGTACTATGATGAATAAAAGGATGTGTATCTTTCATCGGCTTTAAAAATTCTTTGTGGGGACCAATGAGATGGTTGAGCAGATAAAGGATATTTTGATGCCCATGTTTGATCCCTAGGACTTACATGGTAGAAGAGAACTGATACCTCCAGGTTGTCCTCTGACGATCTACGCACACACATGTGTACATGTATATGCGTAGATACACAGATAAAGGTAAAACAAATTAAAAATAAAAGTCTTTGCCCAAGAATCACTAATTTTTAATAAATACTTGAAAATGTTTCATGACTCTAAATTACAACCGTAACTCTTGACACCTTAACTTGTCAAGAGAGAGCCTTAGCTTCTTTAGCCATAAAATATAAATATAATGTATCTATAAATATAAAACTTTGAAACAATTAAAAATTCTATTTGAAGGGATTCTATTCAGTGGGATTAACATGTAGAAATTGTTCAGAACTGTAAGCAGCTTGGTGTACTCTCTCAACCAATGACAGAAGTTGTTCAGTAATTAACGCTGTCCCAGCCAAGTGCTACAGTTTAAATTAAAATCACACAGGAAGAATTGTCTTTGTTGAGTTATTATGGCATCTCAAGGTCATGATGATCTTTCATTTTTTTCATATGAAAAATAATGAGGAATGAATGAGATCTCACCTTCTGGAGGTAATCCTAGCCATAAGAAAATGTACATGGCAGTCACGGTGGCACACGCCTGTAATTGTAGCACTCAGAAAGCTGAGGTGGGGGATTGTGGGTTTGAGATCAGCCTAGATCATGTAAAAGACCTATTCAACAAACCAAGAACAGGGATGCGAGGTAGGGGTGGGGTGGAGAGGTGAAGGGGTGAGGGGGTGAGAGGATCCTATTTTTATGATGCTGCCTCCTAGCGAGCACACTTCCTGTCTGTTCCTTTGAGCATACTTCATTCTGACAAGACGGCCTCATGCACATAAAACAATTAATTAAGCGTTTTGTATAATTGAGTAAGAAGCAAGACTTGACTAGAATTCTTTCACAATTTCTTTCTTCATAATTATTTGCTTTTGCCTTTCAGGAATTACAAAGCCCCTTAAAAAAAAAAAGAAAGAAAGAAAGAAAGAAAGAAAAGAAAAGACAATCCAGTTTTGAAAATAGGAAGACATGAACTTTGGGACTGATTTCCAGTTTCTAAGGTGTCCCATCAATCGTCACATCACCTGTGTTCCCCCTCCAGGTTTATGGGTATTTCCTTTCCTAACCTTTAGAACTCATCATGTTCCGATTGTACCGGGTAATCTGTTAGGGTATCCATTTTCAAGTTATGCAGAGGCTGTTTTAAAAGAAACCTTTTTAATAAGATAAGCATTTCATTAGATGCACACGCTTTCCCATTTCAGCGCCTCACAGGAACAGGCCAGCATCCAGGCTACTTCCATTTGCCCATAATTCGGCTCATGGACAGCTCATCCGGTTCAGAACCACTTAGCTTTGCTTGGCTGTTCCACTGAAGCTAGGCTGTTCATGAGAAACCCCGCAATACAATTGTGGCCCCTCGGGGGACCATATACATTTATGTAAGTTATCTCCGCCTGCGCCCTGTGGTGTCAGAACCTCTCAGATTTGCTAACCATAAAAAATCTGCCTTAAGCATATTACTAACTTTAAAACCCTAATGATATGGATGTCATATTTCAATTTTTAAAAAACCTCTTCATACTCCACCCCTGGAAGAAAAAAAAAAACCCTGTAAAACTTATCCAATGGAATCATGCTTAGGTTAAAAACACAATTTATTTAAAAGAATGGCAATGCACTCTAGTTTAAAACACACACACACACACACACACACACACACACACACACACACCACACACAGGTGTGCTGATGTACACACAAACTGTTTGGTCAAAATGTAATAATTAAATAAGAAATAAACGGACTACTCCCAAGCTGAAGTAAGAACTTTAATAAAAATAATAAAAATCGCTAATGGAAGCAAGGATCTATGTAGTTTCTTTAAAGTGAAGAGAAAAAAAAAAACATTTCTATGGGGCTAATGAGTCTAAGCCTGATTAGTTAAACTGATCATGGGGCAGCAGGTCCATGGGACTTTTTAAATGGTTCTAGCACAATTGTTAATAATACCATCCATAACAGCCAGAAGAAACAATCGGGAGTGATGGTAGGAACCTCCACTGCATATAGACCATCTGGTTCTGAAAGGCAGATAGGAAATTCTAAAACACAGCCCTCAGCCTGTCCCTCCAAGGTTACTCTGTAGATAATGGATTTCTTAATTTTTTAAAAAGGAAAAAAAAATCCATTGTACCAAGCATGCTGCAATTCCTACTGAGAAAACACAAGTCTGCCTATGTATTTCTAGAGCCTTCACGGATGGCTTAGAAGATAATGATAGTAAATCATTAACCTTTTATTTTGTTATTCTGTTTCTGACGATTTTGATAGACTACTGTTAGCATCTTGTTGCTTGCTGGGCATAGTAGAACATTTCTATAATTCCAACTTTGGATGTAGAGGCCAAGAGTCAGGAGTTCAAGGCTATCCTTGCCTACATAGTGGGTTCAAGGCCAGGCTAAGAACCTATCTCAAAACCAGGACTATAGAGAGGGTTCTGCGGTTAAGAGTACCTACTGATCTTCTTGAGGACCCATGTCTGTGGCTCCTACATCTGTAGTCCAGTTCTAGGGAATGAGATGCCCTCTTCTAGCCTCCGAAGGCAACCATGAACTTGTGGCACACACTCACACAAACACACAGATACACATAAATTAAAATAATAAATTTTAAAAAAGTTCTTCAGTCTAGTGTGCTTGCAATCCCAGTACTCAGGAGACAGAAGGAGGAGAATCAGGAATTCATGATCATTCTTGGCTACATAATAGGTTCTCGGCCAGCCTGGGCTACAGGAGGCCCTATCTCTCCTATCTATGCCTCCTCCTGAAAAAAGTACAGAAAAGGGAGGGAGGCAGAGAGGGAGGAAGTAAGAAATGAAGGAAGGGCAAAGGAAAGAAGGGGTCAAACAAACCCAAAGGGCTAAGAACGCTTCTAGGAAGAATCAGCCTATGGTAGAAACTTAGGAAAAAGTATTTAAGAGATACTTGCCAAGTTAAGGGATAGCACACACTCAACCATTTGGCTTCTCTTCAGGGTTAGGGGGCCCAGAACCAGGGCTGAGTGGTAGTGACTATATGGAACCACTGCTCCCCTCCTGGAATGTTGGATGTCAAAGGTTCTTACCTCTGGAGAGGAGTAGATGAAGCTGGCGGCGGGGACAAGCACAGCTTTAGACCCAGATCACAGTCTGTATTTGAACTGGCTCTGACATTCTTCACCCAGTTCTGCTTATTTTGTTATTACAACCCCCTTTGTTTATGACTCTCTTTATTAGAGGGAAACAATGAGAAGTCATTATCACTTAGCAGGGAATCTCACCTCCAGGACAGCATCACTGTGCACTTCCTTCAGGGTTCTTATCCCCACTGAGTGGGAAATGGGTGAGGAGAAAAAGCGACTCTAAGTCCTGCAGCTTGAGGAAGAGGCATTGGACTCCGAGAAGAGGGCTGCCCACGTGGACATCTTGTCAGCCCACACCCACTCACCTGGCTTTCGCGTCTCTCTCCTGCATGTCTCTGGCTTTCCAGAGAGCAAATGGACTCTTAGAGCAACCACACTGAAGGTAAATCAGTCAACACGAGTTTTCAGATAACTGGCTCTGCACCACATTAGCCATCAAGTAAGAGAGGGAAATCAAGTCAGGGAACTGTAGCCAGAAGGGTGAGACTCCTTTTTGCCTCCTTTCTGTTCCGAGGAGACTTCGCCTCGTCCGTTTGCCTTGCACCGATCTCTCTGTGGACAGGGCCCCTTTCTCTGGAATTGCTTGCTCTTCATGCAGCAAGAAACAGCTGTCCTCAGGATTCCCAGTAAGACCCCTGTCCTGTTCCTGAGCAGGAAAGTGGTGGCTTTTTCATGAAGGATGAGTAACGAGCTATTCATGGTAGGATTGAGGTTTTTTGATCTCTGAACAGAAGGGGGTAGAAAGGCAGGCAGGTGGGAGAGGAACAGGAACATTCCCAGGGTGACCATGCTAATGATTCCTGGACAACGCTATGCTGGATCCATGTGGCTGGATGGAGTCACAGAGTCCAACCAGGATGCCTGGAAGCCGAATGGACGGAGAGAGGACTGGGGCACACAAGGTCCACAGTCGTCAGATGCCCTTTCACCCTTCCTCATCCCCTCTCTTCCTCCCTCTCAATTCTTTCTTTCCCTGCCTCCCCTCCCTCTTCTTCATTTCCTTCCCTCTCTCTTTCCCTCCCTCCCTCCTTCCTTCCTTCCCTCTTTTCTTCCATCTCTCTTTCCTCCTCCTGTCTTTCCTCCTCTCCTCCCCCTTCCCTCTCTTACTTCCTTCCTCTCTTTATTCTTGCTCTTCTCTTTTTCACTTTCTTTCATCCCCTCTTCATAACACATAAAGGGAAGGTGTTTCCCAACCAAAGCAAGTTCTAGAGGAAGATCTTCACAGCCTAATTAGCTGGCTCTTAATTTGTGAGAAGCTTGGCTGTGTATGTTTCCTAATTAGACTAGGAAACCCTAATGGGACGGCAGCTCCTGCCTCCCCCAGGCAAGCTGTGTTCACAGGACATTGCCCGGTCGGTCCCAAGGAAAGTGCAGACACGTTCCCTTTGTAATTACTCTCCCCGACTCCAGCTTCAGTTCAACCTGCACTTTGTGTAAGAGGAAGGCTTTTCATTCTCTGCCTAGTTATACTTCTGATGTTGAAAGCTCTTGAGAGTCTGGGGAGGAGAGTGTCCAGGTGTATCCCTTAAAGCTGGAAGATTGTCCCAGCTTTCTCTGTCCAGTGTGTCTTTCTGTGCGATCCCCTCCCAGTTCCACACACGGCTATGTATTTCTTCCCGAAGAAGAAAAAGGAAATTGCTCCCACAAATGAAAACAAACCCCATTATTTCTTAATGAATCTAAGATTCCCAAAGCTGAATTGGACCCTGCTCTGGGGAGTCAGGTAACTTGCCTCTGGCAGAGGCCACAATGCCATCCGTCAGGGCAGAGGGGGGAGAAGTCCCAGCGGCACACAAAGCCAATTGTATATTTTATATACAACAGGAAATATCTCTCTGAAGCCCCACGGGTGGTCCCATAGCCTAAAGCATCTGAATTGATTACCCGTGGCTTGTTTAATTCCAAACGTCCTTGATGGTCGACAAAGGACCATGCTGACATAGGATTCTCAGTGCTCGTCTGTGGGAAGATAGTCTAATAGTGAGAAATGGAAGGAAAGCCCAGGAAGAGACTGCATCCACGCCACTGACTTCCAATATAGAAAGTGAGCCTGTCACGCTTAGGCCCGTGCTCCTTTCTTGTTTTGTAGAGGAGTCAAGTTTCCTCTTCGCACACAAGAGAGATGTCACCACAGTGCAGGGGCAGAGACTGCAGCTTCCTGTGCTTGCTGAGGATGTAGACAGACTCCTGGTGTTCATAGATGGGACCTGGACCTTAGCGGCCTGATGTTAAAGAACAGCTCTCCAAAGACTCTCAAGGCTTTGCTTGGTCTTGCCCACCTCTTTCTGAACCCTCAGGGGGTTAGTCTCCCCTGCTCTGGGTTGCCTTTGCTACTCTATATCTTTTCCGACTTAACTTACTCACTGCCCCAGGGCCTTTGCACAGGAGGTATTACCTGAATACAAAATGATCTTCCCCTTCCCTTATCTAATTCCTCTTCATCTTTCATTCCTTCCCCTTGGGACCAGCTCAGAGCTCTCTATTACAATCAGCTATCACAGTTGGCTAGTCTTTGCCTTTAAACAGAAATCAGCTGATGCCCATGCAGTTGTGGGATTTGATCGTCCTTTGCTTCAGTAAGGTAGGAACAATGCCTGCCTTGTCTCAGAGAGGTCTCTGTATCCAGCATAAAGCTCAGCAAGAGGCTGCTGCCCAATATGAAACATGAAGGAATGCATTGACTGAGTAGACGAGAGAATGGATGACATAGAGAAAGGAGTCATCAAGAAAGCAGCTGGACGGGGCGGGCAAGACCAGGGCTGCTACGGGTCTGAGAAGGGAAAACTGTATGTCATTGTCATCTGGCATGTTGGGCTTTGCTCAAAGTCCTGAGAATGAATCTTAAGACCTAAGGCCCCACTCAGGAGAGTGTATATTTGTACACTGCGTTCACAGAAGTGCTATAGATAAGAACTGTACACATCACAGGTGGAAGAATGGATACAAAGTTATACAGGTGGGTGGCAGCACAAACCTGGAAACCCAGTGCCCAGGAGGTAGTGGCAACAAGATCGTGAGGCCATCCTGGGCGACACCGTGAGATTTTTGTCTTATAAAGTACTCGAGTAAGGGCTGGAGGGATAGTTCAGTGGGTATGAGTGCTCGCTCGGTGTGCAAGCCCAGGTGTGAGCAGCAGAGTGTGGATCACAATACCTATGGTAAGAGTTGGTGTAAGTCATTCGTGTGCCTGTCACCCCACACAGGTGTGAACTGGGCTGGGGAGGGGCAGAGGCAGGAAAATCACTTGGGCTTGTTAAGGCCCAGCACAGCTCCCGGTTTAGTGAGAGACCCTGTCTCAAAGGACTAAAGCAGAGTGATGGAGCAGGGCACCTGACGCCGTCCTCTGCATCCACATGTGCACAGATGCGCGCACTCACACCCAGAGCCACACCCCTGCCTCATGTGCACAGATGCGAGCACTCACACCCAGAGAGCCACACCCCTGCCTCATGTGCACAGATGAGTGCACTCACACCCAGAGCCTCACCCCTGCCTCTCATGAATACATGCATTCTTTCCTGACACATTTTCTAACACTTCTACTTGCAAAGGCATTGTGGGGGCGCCTGGGTGGTGCCTAAAACTGGGCTTTGGAGGAAGACAGAGGGATGAGCTGTTGCCCGAAGGTTGCTCTTTTGTTTGTTTATTGTGACCCTGACGACCTCCGATCCTTGGTTACTTCATTTGTGAAATAAGGAAAATGATATTTGTTTCTCAAGGTATTATAAAGATTAAATAAGATAAATTATATAGCATACATGTGTATAATTATAAAGATTAAATAAGGTGAACACACATACACACACAGAGGAGGCAG